ATTTATTATTATATTTATATAGTAAAGAGCAGTTTAACATTATTTGTGGTTAGCATTAAATTTGGCATTAATGACAAAGATGTAGTTTCTATAAAGTGTAAAGTATACAGGTTACTAATTAATATTTCTTATGAAAAGAGCTCAAATGTAATATCTTCCATAATAAATTATCTTACTGTATCTTCCACACAAAAATAACTCTTCCTATATATACATTATTTGATTAATTCCTCATATATAAATTATTAGCTAGTTAGACACAAGTTTGATAAATTGCTGCTGGTACAGCACCAGGATGCAAAATCCTACTATAAACTGCCTATAGCTGACTTTTGGTATAACTGCTAGGAAGATTTTAATATAATTTCACCATATTGATATTAATATTCAAATAAATCATCAACTAAATTAATCAAATTTATTATTTTGTCTAGAGTTTCTATTCGTAATACAAATTTTTATTTGCTTTATTTGTGATTATTCGTTTTATAAACTTTCAATGTAATTAATGTAACTTGAAAACTTAAATTCATAACGAACAAAACAAATATTTCGAATAGAAACTTAGCTCAAACTATAGTTTTGGGAAATTGTACAACAAACAATAATTATTTTCTACCTAAAAAAAAAAATGTTTAATTTGCCACCCGAACTTCTAACTAAAATATTCAAATACATTGATGATGATGACTGTAAAACATTATATTCTTGTATTCTTGTCAACAAACAATGGCACTATATTAATATTCCAACTTTATGGAGAAATTCATTTGTTTCTGAAGACAGTGTTAAACTATTAATTAATTGTTTATTGGAAGAAGATAAGGATCTCTTGACTAGAAATTGCATTTAATTAGCTTTCGAACTATTGGAGAAACCATCATTATATAATTATGCCAGATTTAATACTATAATCTTCCATTATTATCTTTTTCCTAAACTGTTAAAAATAGATGTGTTAATAGATCTTTATGTACATATTTTACAAAATAGATTAGCAAAATTTATTTTAGATCATTCAGCTGGTATTAGAGAGCTTCAGATTATTAATTGTATAGATTGTAATTTGTTAATTAATCATCATAGATTTGATAGTACCTTTCAGAATCTTTTCGAATTAGATTATATTGAAACTGGTAGTAGTGAATTTTTTGATAAATTAATGAATGTTTGTAAGAATATTCAATCATTAAAAATATATTCTGATAGTAGAGATAATATTGGCACAACTAGTTAAGGCACAAAAGCAAATTAAATATTTAGCTATTGAAACAGAAGATGCAGATATTTTAGCAGATGAATTAAAAAATGCAATATTAGCACATTCACAATCAATAACTTTTTATGAATCTTATGAAGGAGGAAATAATTTGGATAATTCACTAATTCCAACATTTAAAAATTTAAAAACTTTATCATTAACAACTTTGGATAATGAACTGAATAATTTGAAAAATATTTTACTGCCAAACATTGAATCTATGCGGATATATGATCTATATCAATCAAATTTTCCCGATTTTATTAATATCAATGGAAAAACTCTTAAACATCTGAGTGTTGATGGTGCTCCAGGAAATAGAGAGTTTTTGAGAAGGATATTTCAATCAATTGCATACAATGTTGTAAAAATTCAGAAGATTTATATATACTTTATGATGATAAATTAGACCAGGAATTAATGAAAGTACTCAATAGCTGTACAAAGTTAAAAAGTATTACATTTTATAATGGTAGTATTTATATTAATGATCTCAATGGTGATAAAATATTAACAATATTAAATCAAGCACTACCAAAAAAATTAGGATCAATAATTTATACTTATGAGGTTTCTAATATTAATGACCATTCATTAGCTATTCTAATGAAGAATTGGAGAGGACCCAAACCCTTAACAACGAGATTTCATAGTTGCTATAATAAAGATGATAATGCATTATGGAAAATATCAAGATTTAGGATTTTTAAATTAATAAAATTGTTATTATATTTATATGGTAAGAACAGTTGGCTGTCATTTGACATTAATGATGATGAGAGGTGGTTTCTGTCAGATGTAAATCACACAGGCTTAATGGTAACTGATTGATAGTTTCTTAAGTAATTATCTCAACCTTAAAGGTAGATACTGATCATTATAACAGTTGATGTCTAATTTTTTTTCTTGATATGAAATTTGTAAACTTGTAAATTTATTGTTTTTTTTTTATTTTATAATTTCTACTTTCAAAATAATAATGATAAATTCTTTATTTTATTAATATCAAATAATAATATAATGGTCACGAAAGAAATTTTATTTAATTAAACTATTTGTTTTTTTCTGTATATTTTCTTTCAAAATAAAAATACCTCTTCTTTTTTTTACAATTAAAACCATTCTCTTAATGAGTTGTGTTAAATTGATGTTTGGATTTTTGGTGGCAGCCAATCAATTAATTATACAGATTGCAAGTTTATTCATAATTGTAACTGAGTTTTGTCCACATATATACTTTGAAATTAACTACGCGTAATAGTAATACGTAATAATATTAAAAATGTGCTTGGTGTCTAAATTTGAGGCAGCACAGTTGATCCATATTGATACTCAGAACAACAACATTTGAAATAGCACATAATCCAGGCTTTGGTATATATTTTTGTAAGCTTTTATCACTTTTAAATTTTCAAAGAATGCAGAAATTCTTTTATTGATGAAGATGAGGTTGTTTTTTAAATAATGAAATTTTCGCTTTTCAATTTACATCCTTATCAATAAAGAAAAACTTAAAGGCAATCAAATAAACTATTATTATAAAAAACGTAAAAATAAATTGTTTGTTACACCTCCACAAAGAAAATAATTGAGTTTCGTGAAATACAGATTAGCATTATTATGATATTCTGGAGTCATGATATTATAAAATCACACGACTCGATCACATACATATACATTTGTTCAGAGCATCAAAATTAGCACTGGATGCAAATTATATTAGCATCCTATCATGTATTCATGATCAATGATGCCATGTTTAATAAAAATAGGTTATTCTAATAATAGACCTGCTACCCACTCGTGGACCAAAAAATAGGTGCATTGGTTTTTCTTTTTACATTGCATTCGAATTCGAAAGTCGAGGAACACAGTGCCGAAATGGCGTTCTATGTATGATTTGGCTTTACACGTTAAATTCAAATGCGAGGCATCCATATATTTGTTCAGAGCATCAACATTAGCCAGTCATATTATTATTATATCAATATATTTATTTTATTCATTGTGTTGAGCAAAAAATTTATTTAAAAATTACACGAATTTATGAATTTAATAAAAGATCCTTTGCAAAGAAGAACCCTCATGTGAAACATGAATTTCAACTGTTAAAAAAATAGATGGTTTTGAAAGCCAAAAAAATATCTACATAGTGCAATAATTACATTTGGCTTTCCATCCACAACTGTGAAATGATTCTACATCTCACTTCTTGTGCTTCTTTGAACAAATTGTACTGCGCCGTTGAAGGAGTTATTGAATAGGAATCATTTTCAATAATCCAATCATCATTGAATCGTGCAACTGTAAATTATATTACCCTCCACCTGTTATCATTATTATTAATATTAAGAATATTAACAAACAAGAATCTTAATATAATATTAAATTCTTTACCAATTAAAAATTTAAGAATCCACTTTAATTCATTTTGATTCTGGAACCATTGTCATCTTGACTCAACTTCGTCCATGAATACAACCAACACAACTTCAACTTTTCCCAAATTACTATGAACTGATTTCTAAAATGACTATATAAATAAATAAACATAAGAACAAATTCATTGTTCATTTAATATCAAAAATATGAATACATACTCTGAATTTTATTAAGTTCATTATTGTCAATGGTAATAAAAAATTACTTTAATGTCAAAATCGCTTACAAGTACAAAATCCTTTTTAATGCCTGCCTTTTTAAATTAACAATTGAACGGCTCAATCGCTGTCGGTTTGGTGAAAACAAAACAATGTCATTTCTTCAGTTACTGGTTGTTTACTGAGGTCTATATTCTCAGGACGATGAAATTATTTCTGTGGAGACGTTCTAAATTTTCTAAGTCACATTCTTCCAACATGATTACATTCATTATCAATTAAGCTCGCACCTCTATACTGATCCACTAATGTGTGTCCATAATGTAGATAAACTCTCATTATACTTACTTACCAGATGCAACCAATTGGAAATATTATTTAAATCGACACCAGCCGAAGTTGATGAAAAGTTTGACATTAAATATAATGATTGGAGTTCTGCGATGCATTCTTATTCTGTAGAGATTCCGTACAACCTTCAATTCCGTACACTATTTATTTTTGTTCCGTACACTTTTTGTTTTTCAATTTTTGTACGGAATTTGTGAATTCTGAAAAGTTGATTGGTGGGCAGCCAGTCTGTACGATCTTCGATTCCATATTTTGTACCTTACGGAGCATGATTTACTGCAGAGGCACAGATATACGGAATACGGAACCTGTGTAGACTCTGCAATGCTTGCAAATTTTTAGTGAATCATTCTTTGAAATGATAACCATGACATTGTTGATGTTAACATTGACATGGTGTTGCTTTCGTTATCAGTATTAATTTTGGTCATTATTTTCAAATAAAATAAAATTTGTCTAATAATACTAGCAAACTGCAAATAGAAATATATATACACGCACGCGCATATGTTGAATAATCACAAAGATTGTCTTCAATAATTTATAATGAAAAACTCTTTGCATGCATTAATAGTATAAGAATTAATTAGAAATAAAGCCATCAAGCTAATACCCACTCCTATATCTAACTCTTTATCACGTTGCATGAGGTATTTTCTTTAAATTTTCAAAAACATTCAGAGTTTCCTCATACGTGTATATATATAAAGATTGCATGAAATTTTTCCCAAATTGATTATCTAAACATGACACGTATATTTTGATCTAGATTGTGTGACATAAAATATTATTGATCCATTTTTTTTTATATATAACTGATTGGAACTGATGACGAACTTGTGAAACGCTATACCTTTTGACACTATGCATCATTTTTTTTCAAAAAAAAACAACAACAACATTTGGTATGCTTTTAAAGACACGTTTTTAACCAGTTTATTGTTTCATATTTATTGACTCTATTTTATTTACAATAGCCTAAACATCAACATCAGAATGCGGAGCAAAAGTTGTGTCTTATATAGCAAAGGTTATTATTTATTTATCATGATATAAATGATTGACACGCTTTTTCATTATTATCATCATTAATATTATTAACATCAATCATAATAAATATCAGAGGCGAGAAAGCATTATGAACTCACTCTCACGTATGGAAAACGGTACACACTTGGACGATTTGGAAACACAAACAACCTGACCCTCAACATTTGTGTTTGGTTGTTATATTTCAATCATTCTTTTGGTTCCTATATCATATAAGGCTAATCTGACTTGAACTTCCCAATGATATGATGATATGAATAAACTATTAGGGGGGGAGCATGATAGCTCTGAAGATTATTGATTACATTGAATCATTGTCAAGATATTGCTTAAAGCCAGTGTTGACAAAATGACCAATTTAAAAATTACTAGCAAACTACTGTACCCAAAAAGACTGATTCTTGGGTTTACAGATCACAAACTCTCTGGATCTCCTAAGTTTGCGTGATAAAGTAATTAAATCACTGTCAACACTGACCAAAGCATCTTGTCCAAAGCCTTCACATGCACATAGGTTCAACCATGGTAAACATTTCATGGCTATGGGCGCATGCATTCGCATGAATGTTGCATGTTTGATATAAGAAATTTATTAAATCTGACACTTGTGACTAATATCATCAGATTTATTCATGATTTTAAAATTGAAAAGGGAAAATTAATTTTTGATCTTTCCTGACAACACCTGGTCAAAACTGACCCAAGGGAAGATATGACCAATTATTTATTTATTGATGAACCCTGGAAAGTTGGGTTGTCACACATTAAAAGTTTTAATTTTTGCATGGCCTTGGTATTATTATTACTCGGGTGATGCAATTGTTTGTTATGCCAATAAACATATCATTAATCCATGAAGAAAGAATTATAATCAATTATATTTAAAATATATTGTCACCGATTAAATTCGGGGGAGCGTATTTTAATTGGTGATAACAATTATTTTTGTTTTGTGTGGATCAGAATGAATAGGGGATCAACGAATTGATT